TATTTTTATTTATTAAAGTATATCTAAGCACATCCCAATGAGTATCTTCGATCCACTTTAGAGATACCTCTCTATTCTTCAGGTAGGATCCAACGCAGCAAAAAAGTGAAAATTATTTTCTCTTTTGAGCTGCAATATTCTACTCAAAATTATTTAGGGTATGTTTCATTACACTAAAAATCACATGTTTTTACTATTTAAATTTTGTATTTTTTAAAAATATATATATATATATTTTTTTACAAAATATATCATTATACATTATTTTAATATCAAACCTAAACCAAAATTTTTTTTAACTTATTAAAAAGAAACAAACTCTTATATTTTATATTCATAAAAGTAATCATGAAATAAATATTGTTTTGTTAATATAGAAATTTACTCTATTTAGGAGACATGTAATAATAGAGATGCAAGATTGTAGTTGGATCTAAGAAATATTCCTTCTGTCCCAATTTAATAGGATCTTTTGAACTTTTGTAATTGTTACGGAAATTTCAGAAAATCAAGATGAGACAAACAAGGATACAAGAATTTGGTAACTCAGTTCGATCATGATAATCTATGTCTGGGGGCACTGCAAAGTCAGGAATTTTACTATAAAATACGCAGACAAATGTTAAAGTGAGAATACATGGATATTTATAGGCTAAGCCTATGCCAATAATATCCAAATCATATCTCTAAAAATCTAGAATATAATATCTAAATCATATCCCTAAATTTAAGGATATACTCAGGCTTCATATCCTAACAATCTCCAACTTGAAGACTGATTTCATCTTCTACTTCAACATTTTCTTCTTCGGCAACGACAGCGCCAAGTCTCATTCTTCACTCATCGAGGCCACTTGAGGTTGAACACAACCTCAATTCATCTAAAGTCACCACCTTAGACTGTCTTTCAGGATTGCTCATAAATCGGCTCACTACTCCCACTGCACGTGTTTTCCACCTCCTAAAGGTATCAAAAGCATTATACTTACACTTAAGAAAATATACTCATACCTCCCTTTTAACGTTGTCAAAAGCCAGTTCCCACAGGTCCGTATGAACCAACTCCAACTTTTCCTTTTTCAGGTCTCTCCCACCCTTTGAGAACGCCACCTTTCATTGCTTCCCAAAGATACAGTCTTCGAATACTCCAATATTGACGGACTTGAGACCTGACAATCTTCCCTTTTAAATGAGCTTCCCTATCCCCTTCTCGCTTATGTGTCCGAGACGAGAATGCCATAAATTTGTGTCATTATTTATGGCCACGGAACTGATTCCGTCTTGTATGGTTTTCGTCATGTAGAGAGTTCCATCTCTTTTCCCTTGGGCCACCACAATGGATCATTGAGTTACCTTCCATGACTTAGTTTAAAAAACTGTCGAGTAACCTACCTCATCCAATTGTCCCACGGAAATCAGATTCCGTTTTAGACTCGGGACATGTCTTACGTCATTCAGTCTCAACTCCCCACCATTCGGTGTTCTGATTTGAACCATCCCTTTACCTACAATATTTAGTATATCATCATCTGCAAGATAAACAACACCAAAATTACCTGCAGTATAGAATTCCATGATTCCCGGATTACTGCATGAGTGGAATGACGCTTCTGAGACCAAAATCCATGACTCCATTGGACTGCTGACGCTCAGAATCAGCATATTGGATGTCTCCTCCACTGCGTTTGCCGAACCCTGATCCTTCTCCGGCGCCCCGCACTCTCGTTTCAAGTGCTCATTGCAGTTCCAACATACCACCTGACTTGCATATTCTCTATCCTTGTTTTTCGGCTTCAACTTTGACCATTCTTGATCTTCACCATTTCCCTCTGCCTCATATATAAATTCAGTCGAGACATTTTCCTAAAGGGTTAGTAGAACCATACTCATCGTCTTCTTGTCGATCTTCTTGTACTTGGCTACATCCGTGTCTTCGGGTTTCTCCTTCAACGCCGCCTCCAGATCTTTACCATATAGGTAATCTTCTATCTGCATCTTCCAGAAACCGAAGTTCATTCCATCGAATACCTTAACACCACGATGATCACCCATCTTGATTCCCACAAACAAACCAAAGGTTCACTTGATATGAGAGCATATATCTGATATCTTCTCCGCTGCGTTTGTCGAAACCCTTATTCTTCCCTGCTTACCTTGCACTGCCTATCACAAAGGGACCCGCTGCCTGACCTACCAATCGGGACCAACCCAACACCGCCAGGAAACTTTCGACACAAGGCACCTCTACAGGTCACAAGGGATTTCCACAGCCACAATCAATATTCGATGCCTCCCAATCCACCTTACCAACGAACCAGACTCTGATACCACTTGTTACGGAAATTCCCAGGAAATCACGATGAGACAACAAAGACAGAAAAACATAAGAATTTGGTAACCTAGTTCGATCACAGCGATCTACGTCTGGGGGCGCTGTCAAGCCAAGAATTTTACTATAAAGTACGCAGACAGATATTAAAGTGAGAATACATGAATATTTATAGGCTAAGCCTATGCCAATAATATCCAAATCATATCTCTAAAATCGAGAATATAATATCTAAATCATATCCCTAAATTTTAGGATATAATCAGGCTTCATATCTTAACAATAATAGATTAAGAAATAATAGTATTTTATTAGTTAGTGAAAGTAGTTAAAGTATTTTGGTATTAGTGTATAATTAATTTTTTAAAATAAAAAATAGATACTTTTAAATGGGATAGACAAAAGTCGTAAAAAATAAATAATTTGAATTTGGATGAAGGGAGTATTAGATACTTCCTCCGTCCCATAAATATAGTCTTAATTGGGTTGGACACGAGATTTAAGGAGTATTGATATTATATTGGTAGTTGGTAAAACGTATGGATAAAAGACTTTTTTGCCCTTATGAGTATATTAGTGTAAAAAATAGTGGAAATTGTGTAATAAAAATAAAAAATAGGGATAGTTTTATGGTGATATGGTTATTTATGGAAATAAGACTATTGTTTTGGGACGAACAAAAATGGTAATTTTTTTTTTTTTTCTGTGGGAACCAGCAGCCGCTATACGTAAACCCCCGGTCGAACCTAATACCCTGCAAATTAGGCTTGAAAAGGCAAGTTATATTTGACGAACCATGTGTGCGAGTCAGGGTTTGAACTCATGACCTCACGATCACAAATTAACTCCTTACACCACGATGCTATCCTTACGGGACTATTTGATATAATTTTTAAAAATATGTATCGAATATAATGATTATAAATATCCATATATATATATATAGTGGGGGAGCCATAAATTTTTCGTTTGCGAAGGCCAAGATATATTTTTTTTATATAAATTGTATAAAAAATTATATAATAGTATAATACAAATTCAAAGAACATTACGAATAATGTTTTGGTTTGTTTTATCTGATTGTTTCAAATACTTTTAAATATTTGGAATGTTTAAACTAATTCTTTTTTAGCTATTTGAGTTAAATACTCCCTTCGTACTGGTGCAAAATTGCGGTTTACTTTTAGCACGAAAATTTTTGAATAATATTATTATATTAGATTGCAGTGAAAAAGACAAAAATATCCCTATTAGCATTGTGTAATATAATAGTAATAATATTTATATAATATAGTGTAAGTTGGAAGGATATTTTTTATGTTAGGTAGATAGTACAATTACTAAATTAGAAAAATGATAACCTTATTTTGAGACGGATGAAAATGAAAAATGACAATATTTCAATGGGACGGAGGGAAAATATATAATAATAAATATTTTTATTAAATTTATAGGACTAATCAATTACTTAAATTTTAAAAATTATATAAATAATATATAATAAAAATTACAAAATTCACATAATTAGAAAGATCGAACACCTTTGGGCCAACTAGCTTCGTCACGGTCTATATATATAGAGAGAGAATAAAAATAGCAAAAAATGAGAATGAATATATAGCAAAAAAATTTAGGATGTATTTGTTTTGTGTTTTAGTTTGATTTTTTTTTTTTTTTTTTTATGTAAAATTAATATAGAAAATTGTATAGATAATATAAAAATAATAATTATGTGTAGTATATTATTTATTTATTTATTTTTCAAAAATATGTTGAAATATTTTTAGTAAAGTAACAAATCCTTAAAATGGCACATAAAGTAAGCTTTAAACTTATTGGCACAAATTGAAATATCAACCTTATAGATTAGTAGAACGGTTATGGTGTTGATTTGGTAAATTTAGTACCGCACTCGTAATATATATAAACAATACACAATTTTATTATACAAAGCATATGCTATACGGTAAAGACATGTGTTGTTGGTTTATAATTACAAGTGTGTTGTATAACAGTATATGATGTGTGGAAATCAACTATTAATTGTCGTGTATAAGACTATAGCATGTGCTGTTAGTTCTAGTGTTGTATTTGTATTGTTGGTTCATAATTACAAGTGTGTTGTATGATAGTATGTGATGTGCTGGAATCAACTATTACTTGTGCATTGATAATTTATGTGTTGTATTTTTATTATATGAATGCATACAGTGTTGTGTGCTGTCTAATAGCACACGATATGTTGCGATGTATTGTCACGGTGTGAATTTTAAGATTAAGCACCGTAACGGCCGCCTATAGATTTTGTGTGTTTGTTTGGAGGATTGGATTTTAAATCTACTATTCATCTCATTTTTTTCCCCCAAAAATATCAAATCAAACACCTATTTTTTATTTTTATATTATACTAAAAATAAATTTTACATTCAAAACATCACATCAACACCTATTTATATCATATCATACAACTATTCAAATTCAAAATTTTTACTATTCAAATTCCAACTCAAAATCCAAACCCCCAAACAAACGCACCCTAAAAGATTTAAAAAAACACCAGCGCACCCGTGTGTATCGGGTCGGGTCGACCCTGAAAAAATTGGGTTGGGATTGGAAATATAAAGGCCACGTGGCTGCCTTTATCCACCTCACGCTTTGTTTTATGTCCAAATCGACCAGTCACAGTAGCTGTTTGTTCCTTCTTTAACAGGGCACTCAGCCGTTGAAGTGGACCTGTAACCGCTCAATTGCAGTCGCCTTCCCCCGCTACAATCTGCTTAGATTCCATTGGACTCCTCCAGCATCCTCCCGTTGCCGGTCACCCCCATCCTTCCCCAATTTTTGTTGCATTTTATACAGCCAACTGATAGGTCATCTTCAATTGAGACGGCAACATGAGCGGCGGAGGCGGCGGTTTAAGCAAGCTAGGGGTTGCGCTCACTGTGATTTTCGCAATTACGCTGGTGGCGCTCTTCGGTCAGCTATTCCACTTCCTATGGCGGCGACGCGTCGAGCAGCGACAAATATTGCGCGGCGGGGACACGGATCACCTCAATTTGTATAATTCTTCGTCAAATTCTTCTAGTTTCTCTTCGAAGGAGCTACTCTACTTCCTGTGTATTCGAGCGCAATCTCGTAATGCGTCTAACTCGGTAACGAGCTCTGGTGCGGTGGATGATCGGCGCCGGCGGCAGTTGGAGTTGGATGTGGAAGGCATCGATGTGGATGTGTTCCAAATCCAAGGGATGTTCGGACCTCCGAGATTTTTGTTCACTATAAAGGAGGAGGAGAAAGAAGACCTGGAATCGCCTGCAGATACGTCGCTGCACTCGGCCGATAGGTTGTCGAGGAAGATCGGAGATGTGAGTAGGAATTGTACGGAGAGTGGGAGCTTGGGTGCAGGGGAAGATGAGGCTGTGCAGCAGCTGAGAATAATTGATGATCAGGATACGACGCCGTTTTCGACTCCATGTGCTTCGCCTTCGTTTTTTACTCCGGCGACTTCGCCGGTCCACGAAAGGAGTCGGTCAGTTAGTCAGGGCAATTAGTGATTGATTCATTCATTGCAGGGCACAGGACAGCTAGCGTGATGACGACGTCGTTTCGGAGGTAAGTGTACGGATACTTGCAGCCAACACTGTGAATTAAATGGTCAGGTCAGACACCGACTTTGCAAGATTTTGTCGCTCTTCTTTGTTTGGGTAATTCTATTCTACCGTATAAATCTTTTTTCTTTCTTTTTTGTTTTAATGAAACAAGATCGTCTTTTTTTCGAATTTGTACAGGATGAAAATGTAATAATAATTTTTATTGGATCGATTTTGACTTAATCTCTCAGGTATATAAGACATATGTAAATATACAAAACTCTAATTTTATCATATTTATATTATTTATTATCTCAATAAATTTCAATTTTATTAGATTATTTGTTCTGCTACCGGAAAATTATAATTAATTATTCAAATTTATTATTTAAAATAATAAAATAATTCCAAAACATTGTAGCTGCGAGAATTGAAACATTTTTTCAAATATATATATGAATATTATTTTATACATAATAAATTTTTTATAAAATATAAATAAATATAATTAATTTAAATTAATTTTATAAAAATAAAGAGTTTTAAATAGAGATAAAAATATTTTTTATATAAAAAAGGATAAAAATAAAAAAAATTTGAATTTGTCCAACACATAAGATGTTAGAATTTAGTTAAATTGATTTATATTAATAAAATACATTTAAGATTAATAATTTTTTAAAAAAAAATTAAAAATGAATCATATTTTATATCTTATGTATAGATAAAAAATAAAAAAAAAAGTCATTGTAATCGAACTGAATAATAGTAATTGTTTTTTTTTTTTTTTTTGCAAAATTGTTCATAACTTTCTTATGGTTTCGAAACTCAGCATAAATCCTCTGTTTTACTTTATAAGTTGCATGACGTCCCATTATATTTTAAAAAATATTGCATTAAACCCTATTGTGGTTTTAAAACTCAACATATATCTCCACTTTACTTTAAAAAATTGAATGACGTTCCATTATACTTTAAAAAATATTGCATGAAACCCTCGTTCATGCAAAACATACAGATAAGAAATTATCTTCTCATGATACCAATGGTGGTGGGATTTCATGCAATATTTTTGAAAATATAAGGAGATGTCATACAATTTTTAAAGTATAGAGAGATTTTAGTTTGAGTTTCGAAATCACAGAAGATTTATGGATAATTTTAACTTTTTTTTTTCTTTTTTTTTTTTAATGGACGGATGTTTTTTTCTCGATTATGTCACCCCATCTCAGGACAACATATGATGATGAGGAGTGTTATGCATTAAAACTGACATTCAAATAAATTAGTGTGTTTGTTTGGGGATTGGATTTTAAATTTACTATTCATTCTAATTTTTTTTCCCAAAAATATGAAATTAAACACCTATTTTTATTTCTTATTAAACTAAAAATCAATTTTACATTCAAAACATCAAAACAATGCCTATTTATATCACATCATACAATTATTTAAATTCAAATTTTTTACTATTCAAATATTAAATCAAAATCCAAACCTCCAAACAAACACACTTTGGTTGATTTGAAATGGAAGTTGATTAAATTTTTATTTAAATAATATTTTAATTTTATATTAATGAAAAAATAAATAATTTTAATAAAAATTGTGTTAATTAAATAATAATGATTTGAATTTTAAATAATAAAAAAGAAATTCAAAATATCATTCTTTCATTTTTTATTATTTATTTTTTTAAATTTTTCTTTTACGTTTGTATAGACTTCTAGTAATTGATTTTCCGAGTGTCTTTCATATATTTATCAATTTTGACCGCTAGTAATTGATTTCTCTTATTTACTTGATTTGTCCAATTTGAAGTTATATATATAGTTTTAGATACATAATTTAAGAAATAATAATATTTTAATTATAATAGATAATTAAAAGTAGTGTAATAATTTTTTTTTCTGTTTAAAAATAATGATTTGATAATAAAATAAAAATATTGGTAAAAAAACTAAAATATTTTTAAAATAATTATTTTATACTTTAATAACTTAAAATACATATATATATATATTGTGGATGAATAAAATATGTTATAATAGTATTAATTAAGCAATATAGCAGGGTAAATTGCATCCGGAAATATAAGTCATTTAAATATACACTTTTTGGAAGATTGGATAATACTCCATCAGTCTCAAATCAAATACGTTATTTGGAGTTTTGTAATAAATTAAAAAATAATAATATTTTATTAGTTAGTGAAATTGTGTAAGATGTTTTGACATTTTTTTCTTTGATTTTATGTATAAAGTAATTGGATGTATAATTATATATTTGTAATTTAAAAAAAAATTAAAAGATATTTTGGTATTAATGTATGATTATTTTTTTTTAAAATAAAAAAATAATAATTTGAAGTAGGATATACGAAAATGATAAAAAAAAATACTTTGAATTGAGACGGAGAAAATATTTATTTTTTAAAAGAATTATTTTAATTTTTCTTATCTCATAAAATATTGCAACATACATTTTAATTTTTTATTATTTTCAAAAAAATTTAAAATTCCAAACTTTGATTGGATCCATGTTTGTGCTATGCCTTTGCAATGGTTTTTATTTTTTTTTTGGGACTTTTAAATGAAAAATTAAACATATTGATTTTGAAGCACAACAAATTACATAATTATATTATTATTTTTGTATGGCAGGTGAATTTGGAGGCGTTGGAGTTTAAACCCATGACCTCATGGTGATAAGTTCAGTCTCCACACCACCGGACCATCCCTTACGATGACACTATCCTACTATGTAATTATATTGTTGTAAGGTGTGGTTGTGTCAAAATGCAGTTTGTTTGGGGATTGGATTTTAAATGCACTATCTATCCCATTTTTTTTTCCCCAAAAACATCAAATCAAATACCTATTTTTTTTTTTTTATATTATATTAAAAATCAATTTTACATTCAAAATATCACATAACACCTATTTATATCACATCATACAACTATACAAATTCAAAATTTTTACTATTCAAATCCCAATTCAAAATCCTAACCCTGAAACAAACACACCCTTAGGGAACTATATATGGGTGCAGGTGAACGCATGTAGGTGTGGGTGTGTGTCCTTGATTTGATTAAATATTGTGTGGGTATCGAACCTGAAGGCGCGTTAGGCCACCAAGATCCAAACAGACATCATATCATATCGGGGAAATCTGATTGTGTTTTTTGTTGATTTCTTATAGGAATATTATTAATTATTTTATTTTTCTGAAAAATCAAATCAAATAAATATTATTTTATCCGTCTTACTTTTTGTGTTCAGTTTACGATAACCATAAAAATTTAGATGAATATAATTAGCAATAAGTAAGAAATATATTAAAAAAAATAATTATAATATAATATAAATAATTATATGTTAGGATATTAAGATTTAAAAAATTATTGATTATAAAATTTAAAATATCATTAATGTATAAATATTTTTCTTAAAATAAAAAAGACAAATAAAGTATCAAACAAAAATAACAATAATGGACAAATAAAGTGAGACAGATGAAATATTTAACGTATTAACATATCATCAATATCTATTTATATCACATTAATTAGTATTCCCACCGTCTACAAAATATAAATGAATATTTTTTTTTCTCCACTAAATTCGTACACTTTTTATTTATAGTAAAAAGTATTATGTACTCAAAAAACTATTACCAATCATTTAGCATACAAATAACAGTTTTATCACCACAAAATACCTTCATTTATATAAACCCTTCAATGAACTTTTCAAAATACTCTCACTTACTTTTTTACTTATTTTATTTTTACAATTAAATATTATTATTTTTTAATCTTCGTGTCCACATGCATGTACATAATTTTCATGGACGAAAAAAGTATTAAAATTTAATTTTTTACTATTTCAAAATCAAAATCCAAAAATCAAATTCACAAACAAACACACTCGTATATTTGTATGTAGGCAAGATCCAAACTGGTATCGATCAATCATATTAGGCAAATTAAATCACCATTTTCTCCAACCATGTGCCTAGGGGTGGAAATAGGCCAGGCCAGGCCAGGCTTTGGTTAAATAGGCTTGGCCTGTCTTAAAAAGATATGGCCTGAGCCTGGCCTACCAGCCTGAAAAAAAATATTTTTAAAGCCTGAGCCTGGCCTTTTTAAAAGCCTGGCCTGGCCTACGAGCCTGTTTAAAAGGCTACATAATAATTTATTATTATTATTATTATTATTTTTTTTTTGTAAATTTCGTACTATAAATAAAAAATAAAACAGATACAATTATTTATATTATATATAAAAAAATAAAAAATTCTATTTTTTAATGACAAAAATAATCATTTTTATTGCCATATAAAAATACAATATATTATACTAATAATTTGCAAAAAAACGTATATTACAATTCATTCAAATATATATATAATTATTGGGAATAAGTCATGCAAACTCCAGACAAAAGCTGATAGAAATTACTGCATAATGACATTAAAAAAAAAAAACAGTTTACATCAATCTATTGTCATTATTATATATAAAACTATTCTTATTTTATAATAATAAAAAATAATTTTATATAATAATAATATTATTATTAAACAGGCCGGCCTGTTTAGTAAATAGGCTTTTTCATAAGCCTAAGCCTATTCTGTATATATAAACAGGCTTTAACAAAAATCTGAACCTGGCCTTTCTAATAAATAGAACAGGCCAGGCCAGGCTTGATGTAGGCCAGGTCATAGGCCCCTGACAGGCCGCCTGGCCTATTTCCACCCCTACATGTGCCCCTTCAACCGCCAAGTCATTTGCATCAAACATCGCACTTGTTAGCATGATTTTGTTGTCATATAGTTCACTAGCTATAACTACCAAAAAAATAGTTTTCTACTGCAGTCGAAAATTCGTAACGAAAAGCCATTTTTCGTGCAATTTGCGTATTTGATATGCCTTAGTGATGACTTTTATCCGTAATGTATACTCGCGTAACAAATATTTTTTGCCAGACAACTTTTTGTAACTATTACTGTCGGTCAACGCTTTCTATGGCAGAGTTTTTGTACGATGTTTGTTACGAATTTTCTCTCGTAATCATAAGTCGGGCTTTTCGCGCGTGTGGAAGGACTTTCAGTCACGATATTTTGCACAAAAGTTCCTCGCGTTAACAAAAATATTACTATGACCGCTTGTCAAAGTATGCTTTCTTGCGCGTTTTTGTTACGTCATTGAACCTGTAATAAAAAATATACTTTCTTATGGTCACGAAACTGGCTGTAACAACAAACATCCAAGAAGCACTTTTTGTTACGTCATTTCATCTTTTTGTTACGTCATTGCATCCTTTTGTTACTTCACTAAACCGTTAAAAAAATTATCCCTACTTATGGTCACAGAAACGGTTGTAACAAACATCCAGAAATAACTTTTTGTTACGTCGTTTTATCCTTTTGTCACGGAAAAATAGCGTCTCATAAAAAATAGTGGTTGTGATGCAGTTGAAATTTGCATAACAAATTGATTTACTGTAATCTCCCTTATACCGAAACATATTCTATATACAACCATGCTATAAACATCACAATCGGCCATAATTGTAAACAATAAACACTATAAGGGAATCCCAACATAGGATATTAATATAACAGTACTTATTAGTCGATGTCCATCACCTAACAACAAAATAAATTATCCCATCAAACAAGCCTAGCAATATCTCCACTTCGACATTATGTTCCGCAAAACATAAGCATTTCAAACATCCAAACTAGTAATAAGCAAGTAGGGATATCCATCAATCCATAACCACAATTCTCACCGCACAAAAGATAACTCCAAATATCTATGCATCTAATCCATAGGTAGTTCACATAGTCATAACAACCCACCATCCAAACATTGCTATGACATGCAATCGATAAGGCAAACGAGGGCAAAACATTAAGGAATCGGTTTATATGCTTCAAGGTGGCGCATGAGCTGCAATTGCCAACAGAAGGAGGTTTAGTTTAAGTAAAATTTCTTTTAAATTTTGGAAGACAATACATGAAAGGTATGAAAGTAGATCCGTACGTCTTTGTAGTTCCACTCAATAGGGTCTTCACCGACAACCTCGCGAATAGTAGTCGCCCCAGCAATTGTCGGTAAAATAAGGAGTGTCTCTGGGAATGAGACGGATGTAACGAAGACCTTGACAATGGAAAGTGTCACATACAACATTCACAAGTGCAATTTTTGAGTATCTAGTTCGCCGTATATATCAACACACGATCAAACTGTATAACATGCCATAACACATTTGAAGTGTAAACTTCAAAACTCATATAGCACGACTATGTACATTCGGACATTTACTACAATACATGTTATTCAACCCATGAATTAGGCACTGAAACACACTACTTTCTAATTTCCAATGTGATTGCAACTTGAACTATAAACCAACCATCTACAAATAAAATCTAAGTAAAACAATATATCATGTACAATATTAAAGTAATAACTTCACTAATAATAAATCCTCATGGTTACCTCCAAATGGGACTGCTCCATGAATGTGTCATAGTATTATATCCCGTGGAGATTAGTTATCATTTACGCATTAAATATGAGCATACACCCATAGATGAGTTCGAGTTCAGAGTACTAACAATTGGTAAATGAAATTATATATTAGTGATCCTCATCACATAAAAAGCTGTTGAAAACAACTCGGGATTGCGTAGATACTCAATAATAAAGCCAACATTCATCAGTTTTGGGACTGCAATATGCACCTAGATAGTGTACTAGCAGTATAGCCATAAATAATGTCATGTGAACGATAAAAAATATAAGACCAACACAGAATCAACATAATACCAACATAGCCACTGCCCTTATGTTAACATACTACATATACATAATATTCTAACTGCCACATATGTCAAGTTCAATATCCCCGACTCAATAAAACCATGATCATCTACACTATGGGACCTAAGCGGTCACAACATCGACGATGTAGTATAAACATCATATTGAAGGATTTAAAAGAAAAACTTAAGGCACAATGCCACGAACCTGGTGCAGGGGGGTAGAGCAGAAGTCCCTCAGCAACAACTTTCTTCTTTTCAGTCCGAGATAATATAAGCATACGGGTGCCGACCTACAACAGAGATTGCAGAAGAGTTGAAAACATAGTTGGCCAAGAAGAGTAGCCTAAATTTGACACTGCATTGATTACTAGTTAACTTTAGGGTTTGACGACATCGTACCGTCATAGGTGATTCAGACACAGGCTTGAGAAGCTCAGAGCCCGTATCAATATGAGATGTGACCTCTCAAGGATATGTAGATTATAGTGAATTAATTATCTATTAAAAAAGCTCATGGGATACAATTGTGAAAAGTATGGAAATTACGACTACTTACAGATGGGTCAGTAACTGCTCTAGTGTTTCTGTGCATGAAGGCATACATATCAGCCTTGATGGATTTGAACTTAGCCATCGTTGCCTTCAACTCTACAAGTCCGTTCTGCATTTCTTCCCACCCTTGCTGGAATGCTACACTATTTGTTAAACCAGTTGCATCATTGTGGGAATGAGCTGAACTTACGGCGCTGTCAACCTTTGAGCGCTTCTTGCTCTTCCCCCCAGAGCCCATCGGTAAAGAGTCTTCCGAACAGTCAGAGTGTGCACTTTAGGGGGAATCTTGTTTAGCTCATTCTACAAATATGTCTATACTAAAGAAATCAAGGGAGACCGACCTTGCACATATTGTTATAGAGGTATTTAATGTCCAAATTGTATCAACATAGTGAATAAATTTATTATACCAATGTCTCCTCGGTTTTTTGGTTGTCTGCCCCCTTGCTTTGTGTCCGACTAGATAGTCAAAT